AGGGACAGACACAGAATTGTTACTGAGGGCCACAGAACTGTTACTTAGGGCCACAGAAACGTTATTAGGGCCACAGAAATTGTTACTCAGGGACAGACAGAATTGTTACTGAGTGCCAGAGAATTGTTACTTAGGGCCACAGAAACGTTAGTTAGGGCCACAGAATTGTTACTCAGGGACAGACACAGAATTGTTACTGAGGGCCACAGAACTGTTACTTAGGGCCACAGAAACGTTAGTTAGGGCCACAGAATTGTTACTCAGGGACAGACAGAATTGTTACTGAGTGCCAGAGAATTGTTACTTAGGGCCACAGAAACGTTAGATAGGGCCACAGAATTGTTACTCAGGGACAGACACAGAATTGTTACTGAGGGCCACAGAACTGTTACTTAGGGCCACAGAAACGTTAGTTAGGGCCACAGAATTGTTACTCAGGGACAGACAGAATTGTTACTGAGGGCCACAGAACTGTTACTTAGGGCCACAGAAACGTTAGTTAGGGCCACAGAATTGTTACTACTCGGACAGACACAGAATTGTTACTGAGGGCCACAGAATTGTTACTGAGGGCCACAGAACCGTTACTTAGGGCCACAGAATTGTTACTCAGGGACACAGAATTGTTACTGAGGGCCACAGAACCGTTACTTAGGGCCACAGAATTGTTACTCAGGGACAGACACAGAATTGTTACTCAGGGACACAGAATTGTTACTGAGGGCCACAGAACCGTTACTTAGGGCCACAGAATTGTTACTCAGGGACACAGAATTGTTACTGAGGGCCACAGAACCGTTACTTAGGGCCACAGAATTGTTACTCAGGGACACAGAATTGTTACTTAGGGCCACAGAAACGTTACTCAGGGACACAGAATTGTTACTGAGGGCCACAGAAACGTTAGTTAGGGACACAGAATTGTTACTCAGGGACAGACACAGAATTGTTACTGAGGGCCACAGAATTGTTACTTAGGGCCACAGAAACGTTACTCAGGGACACAGAATTGTTACTGAGGGCCACAGAACCGTTACTTAGGCCCACAGAATTGTTACTCAGGGACAGACACAGAATTGTTACTCAGGGACACAGAATTGTTACTGAGGGCCACAGAACCGTTACTTAGGGCCAAAGAATTGTTACTCAGGGACAGACACAGAATTGTTACTGAGGGACACAGAATTGTTACTGAGGGCCACAGAACCGTTACTTAGGGCCACAGAAAAGTTACTCAGGACACATAATTGTTACTGAGGGCCACAGAACCATTACTTAGGGCCACAGAATTGTTACTCAGGGACAGACACAGAATTGTTACTGAGGGACACAGAATTGTTACTGAGGGCCACAGAACCGTTACTTAGGGCCACAGAATTGTTACTCAGGGACAGACACAGAATTGTTACTCAGGGACACAGAATTGTTACTGAGGGCCACAGAACCGTTACTTAGGGCCACAGAATTGTTACTCAGGGACACAGAACTGTTACTGAGGGACACAGAACCGTTACTTAGGGCCACAGAATTGTTACTCAGGGACAGACACAGAATTGTTACTCAGGGACACAGAATTGTTACTGAGGGCCACAGAACCGTTACTTAGGGCCACAGAAACGTTACTCAGGGACAGACACAGAATTCTTACTCAGGGACAGACACAGAATTGTTACTCAGGGACACAGAATTGTTACTGAGGGACACAGAACAGTTACTTAGGGCCACAGAAACGTTACTCAGGGACACAGAATTGTTACTGAGGGACACAGAATTGTTACTGAGGGACACAGAATTGTTACTCAGGGACAGACACAGAATTGTTACTGAGGGCCACAGAACTGTTACTTAGGGCCACAGAACTGTTACTTAGGGCCACAGAAACGTTACTCAGGGACACAGAATTGTTTACTCAGGGACACAGAATTGTTACTGAGGGACACAGAATTGTTACTGAGGGACACAGAATTGTTACTCAGGGACAGACACAGAATTGTTACTGAGGGCCACAGAACTGTTACTTAGGGCCACAGAACTGTTACTTAGGGCCACAGAAACGTTACTCAGGGACACAGAATTGTTACTCAGGGACACAGAATTGTTTAATTAAAGAGTATGTCAGACAACATGCAGAGGAGTGGCAGAGGAGGCAATGTTTTAGGAGCGAGCAGACGTGGCAGCAGAGGAAGGGGTCGAGGCAGCACTATTCGCAGCCAGAGGCTAGTGCTCCCGGTGTCATCCAGTACAGTGAGGAAGAGCTAACAGAGGGCGGTCAGGAACGGGGGGAGACATCCGCCTCTTCAGCAGCCAGGCGAAGAAGTAGTGGCGAGGAGAGTGGCTCGGTAGCCGGTGTAGAGACAGGTCTGTCTCCTGACCCACACGCAGCCGAGGGGGCTAGTAGTGAGGCGGAGACCCTAATTGATGATGATGAGGCTGATCGCACTTGGCAGCCTCGTCGTCATCAGGCTATTGCTTCTGCATCATCAGGAGAAGAGGGTGGCAGCTTGGCAGCGAGCAAAACAGTCGGTGGGTTGTCTCCATCGCCACACTCTGCCATGTGCCACTTTCAGGTCTCCTCACACACTGCTGGTGTGTTGAATTTTTTGACATAGGGTGCTGGCAGATTACGGGCCTCCCATAGCTGCTGCCAGGCCCCTAATCTGCCATGGGCCCCTATACTGCCTCCTCATGCTGCTGCCAGGTCCACCACAGTCTCTCATGCCATGTGCCACTTTCAGGTCTCCTCACACTGCTGGTGTGTTCAATTTTTTGACATAGGGTGCTGGCAGATTACGGGCCTCCCATAGCTGCTGCCAGGCCCCTAATCTGCCATGGGCCCCTATATACCGCCTCCTCATGCTGCTGCCAGGTCCAGAGTCTGTCATGGGTCCCTGTACGGCCTCCCATTGCTGCTGTCTCCATCGCCACACTCTGCCATGTGCCACTTTCAGGTCTCCTCACACACTGCTGGTGTGTTGAATTTTTTGACATAGGGTGCTGGCAGATTACGGGCCTCCCATAGCTGCTGCCAGGCCCCTAATCTGCCATGGGCCCCTATATACCGCCTCCTCATGCTGCTGCCAGGTCCAGAGTCTGTCATGGGTCCCTGTACGGCCTCCCATTGCTGCTGTCTCCATCGCCACACTCTGCCATGTGCCACTTTCAGGTCTCCTCACACACTGCTGGTGTGTTCAATTTTTTGACATAGGGTGCTGGCAGATTACGGGCCTCCCATAGCTGCTGCCAGGCCCCTAATCTGCCATGGGCCCCTATATACCGCCTCCTCATGCTGCTGCCAAGTCCAGAGTCTGTCATGGTCCCTGTACGGCCTCCCATTGCTGCTGTCTCCATCGCCACACTCTGCCATGTGCCACTTTCAGGTCTCCTCACACACTGCTGTGTGTGTTGAATTTTTTTGACATAGGGTGCTGGCAGATTACGGGCCTCCCATAGCTGCTGCCAGGCCCCTAATCTGCCATGGGCCCCTATATACCGCCTCCTCATGCTGCTGCCAAGTCCAGAGTCTGTCATGGGTCCCTGTACGGCCTCCCATTGCTGCTGTCTCCATCGCCACACTCTGCCATGTGCCACTTTCAGGTCTCCTCACACACTGCTGGTGTGTTGAATTTTTTGACATAGGGTGCTGGCAGATTACGGGCCTCCCATAGCTGCTGCCAGGCCCCTAATCTGCCATGGGCCCCTATATACCGCCTCCTCATGCTGCTGCCAAGTCCAGAGTCTGTCATGGGTCCCTGTACGGCCTCCCATTGCTGCTGTCTCCATCGCCACACTCTGCCCATGTGCCACTTTCAGGTCTCCTCACACACTGCTGGTGTGTTGAATTTTTTGACATAGGGTGCTGGCAGATTACGGGCCTCCCATAGCTGCTGCCAGGCCCCTAATCTGCCATAGGCCCCTATATACCGCCTCCTCATGCTGCTGCCAAGTCCAGAGTCTCTCATGGGTCCCTGTACGGCCTCCCATTGCTGCTGTCTCCATCGCCACACTCTGCCATGTGCCACTTTCAGGTCTCCTCACACACTGCTGGTGTGTTGAATTTTTTGACATAGGGTGCTGGCAGATTACGGGCCTCCCATAGCTGCTGCCAGGCCCCTAATCTGCCATGGGCCCCTATATACCGCCTCCTCATGCTGCTGCCAAGTCCAGAGTCTGTCATGGGTCCCTGTACGGCCTCCCATTGCTGCTGTCTCCATCGCCACACTCTGCCATGTGCCACTTTCAGGTCTCCTCACACACTGCTGGTGTGTTTTGAATTTTTTGACATAGGGTGCTGGCAGATTACGGGCCTCCCATAGCTGCTGCCAGGCCCCTAATCTGCCATAGGCCCCTATATACCGCCTCCTCATGCTGCTGCCAGGTCCAGAGTCTCTCATGGGTCCCTGTACGGCCTCCCATTGCTGCTGTCTCCATCGCCACACTCTGCCATGTGCCACTTTCAGGTCTCCTCACACACTGCTGGTGTGTTGAATTTTTTGACATAGGGTGCTGGCAGATTACGGGCCTCCCATAGCTGCTGCCAGGCCCCTAATCTGCCATGGGCCCCTATATACCGCCTCCTCATGCTGCTGCTGCTGCCAAGTCCAGAGTCTGTCATGGGTCCCTGTACGGGCTCCCATTGCATGCTGCTGTCTCCATCGCCACACTCTGCCATGTGCCACTTTCAGGTCTCCTCACACACTGCTGGTGTGTTGAATTTTTTTGACATAGGGTGCTGCTGGCAGATTACGGGCCTCCCATAGCTGCTGCCAGGCCCCTAATCTGCCATGGGCCCCTATATACCGCCTCTCATGCTGCTGCCCAGCCAGTCCAGAGTCTCTCATGGGTCCCTGTACGGCCTCCCATTGCTGCTGTCTCCATCGCCACACTCTGCCATGTGCCACTTTCAGGTCTCCTCACACACTGCTGGTGTGTTCCATTTTTTTGACATAGGGTGCTGGCAGATTACGGGCCTCCCATTGCTGCTGCCAGGCCCCTAATCTGCCATGGGCCCCTGTACCGCCTCCTCATGCTGCTGCCAGGTCCAGAGTGTGTCATGGGTCCCTGTACGGCCTCCCATTGCTGCTGCCAGGAGGCAGCAGGGTCGCAGCAATGTGTCAGTGGAGGCAAAACGGCCACGGAGTAGAGCACCAGCTCCACTGCAGCCCTACCACCACGGCCAGTAGTGGTGCCGGTGTGCACGGAGGAAGTAGCAGTCAGCCAGGAGATTACGGGCCTTTCCTACTCGGCGGTGCCAGGCAATTTTTCTGTCAAGCCGCCCCTAGGAAGTAAACGCCAGCCGTATGTCGACTATGCTGCCAGAAAGTCCAGCGTGGCCAGGGGTCCCATGTTGGGACTACAGCGTTGCCCATTGCAGCGTCGCCATTCGGTGGCCATCGGAAAAACCGTGGCCAAGATACGGCGGTTCTGCCTGCCCCAGCCCAGGGTTCCATTTTGTTTTTTGACATAGGGTGCTGGCAGATTACGGGCCTCCCATAGCTGCTGCCAGGCCCCTTAATCTGCCATGGGCCCCTGTATACCGCCTCCTCATGCTGCTGCCAGGTCCAGAGTCTGTCATGGGTCCCTGTACGGCCTCCCATTGCTGCTGTCTCCATCGCCACACTCTGCCATGTGCCACTTTCAGGTCTCCTCACACACTGCTGGTGTGTTTTGAATTTTTTGACATAGGGTGCTGGCAGATTACGGGCCTCCCATAGCTGCTGCCAGGCCAGGCCCCTAATCTGCCATGGGCCCCTATATACCCCTCCTCCTCCTCATGCTGCTGCCAAGTCCAGAGTCTGTCATGGGTCCCTGTACGGCCTCCCATTGCTGCTGTCTCCATCGCCACACTCTGCCATGTGCCACTTTCAGGTCTCCTCACACACTGCTGGTGTGTTGAATTTTTTTTGACATAGGGTGCTGGCAGATTACGGGCCTCCCATAGCTGCTGCCAGGCCCCTAATCTGCCATAGGCCCCTATATATACCGCCTCCTCATGCTGCTGCCAGGTCCAGAGTCTCTCATGGGTCCCTGTACGGCCTCCCATTGCTGCTGTCTCCATCGCCACACACTCTGCCATGTGCCACTTTCAGGTCTCCTCACACACTGCTGGTGTGTTTTGAATTTTTTGACATAGGGTGCTGGCAGATTACGGGCCTCCCATAGCTGCTGCCAGGCCCCTAATCTGCCATGGGCCCCTATATACCGCCGCCTCCTCATGCTGCTGCCAAGATCCAGAGTCTGTCATGGGTCCCTGTACGGCCCCATCCCATTGCTGCTGTCTCCATCGCCACACTCTGCCCATGTGCCACTTTCAGGTCTCCTCACACACTGCTGGTGTGTTGAATTTTTTGACATAGGGTGCTGGCAGATTACGGGCCTCCTATAGCTGCTGCTGCCAGGCCCCTAATCTGCCATAGGCCCCTATATACCGCCTCCTCATGCTGCTGCCAGGTCCAGAGTCTCTCATGGGTCCCTGTACGGCCTCCCATTGCTGCTGTCTCCATCGCCACACACTCTGCCATGTGCCACTTTCAGGTCTCCTCACACACTGCTGGTGTGTTGAATTTTTTGACATAGGGTGCTGGCAGATTACGGGCCTCCCATATGCTGCTGCCAGGCCCCTAATCTGCCATGGGCCCCCGTTACCGTACCCGCCTCCTCATGCTGCTGCCAGGTCCAGAGTCTCTCATGGGTCCCTGTACGGCCTCCCATTGCTGCTGTCTCCATCGCCACACTCTGCCATGTGCCACACTTTCAGGTCTCCTCACACTGCTGGTGTGTTCCATTTTTTGTCATAGGGTGCTGGCAGATTACGGGCCTCCCATTGCTGCTGCCAGGCCCGTAATCTGCCATGGGCCCCTGTACCGCCTCTTCATGCTGCTGCCAGGTCCAGAGTGTGTCATGGGTCCCTGTACGGCCTCCCATTGCTGCTGCCAGGAGGCAGCAGGGTCGCAGCAGTGTCAGTGGAGGCAAACGGCCACGGAGTAGAGCACCAACTCCACTGCAGCCTACCACCACGGCCAGTAGTGGTGCCGGTGTGCACGGAAGAAGTAGCAGTCAGTCAGTGAGGAGTAGCGGGGGCAAAGTTTCCCCTACTCTCGGCGGTGTGGCAATTTTTCGTCAAGCCACCCGAGGAAGTAAACGTAGCCGTATGTCGACTATGTGGCCAGAAAGTCAAGCGTGGCCAGGGGGCCCATGTTGGGGACTACAGCGTTGCGTCAGCATATGCAGCGTCGCCATTCGGTGGCCTGGGAAAACCGTGATAAAGATACGGCGGTTCTGCCTGCCCCAGCCCAAGGTTCCATTTTTTGTCATAGGGTGCTGGCAGATTACGGGCATCCCATTGCTGCTGCCAGGCCTTAATCTGCCATGGGCCCCTGTACCGCCTCCTCATGCTGCTGCCAGGTCCAGAGTCTGTCATGGGTCCCTGTACGGCCTCCCATTGCTGCTGTCTCCATCGCCACACTCTGCCATGTGCCACTTTCAGGTCTCCTCACACACTGCTGGTGTGTTGAATTTTTTGACATAGGGTGCTGGCAGATTACGGGCCTCCCATAGCTGCTGCCAGGCCCCTAATCTGCCATGGGCCCCTATACCGCCTCCTCATGCTGCTGCCAGGTCCACAGTCTCTCATGCCATGTGCCACTTTCAAGTCTCCTCACACTGCTGGTGTGTTGAATTTTTTGACATAGGGTGCTGGCAGATTACGGGCCTCCCATAGCTGCTGCCAGGCTTCTAATCTGCCATAGGCCCCTATATACCGCCTCCTCATGCTGCTGCCCAGGTCCAGAGTCTCTCATCGGTCCCCTGTACGGCCTCCCATTGCTGCTGTCTCCATCGCCACACTCTGCCATGTGCCACTTTCAGGTCTCCTCACACTCCTGCTGGTTTCCATTTTGTCATAGGTTGCTGTATGGCCTCCCATTGCTGCTGCCTCCACCGCCACACTGTGGCTCCAAACACTGGTTTTGGCCCCGTGACTGGCCAAATGAGTGAAGTGTGCGGTGATTCTAAGATCGACGGCACTCATCTGCATGTCATACTGACTGACAGTATTATTTCTCTTCCCCAGCAGACTCCAAGGGCATTTAAATTAAAGGTACAGTGTTCTGCACTAATATTAAGTCTCTCTGAAGCCTAGAAACACCCTTTTTTAAGTTAAATTCACAGCGAATATATTCGACTCGAATCGAATATTGTCCACGAATTCGCCGAATCAGTCGAATCGAATTTTTGAATACTTCGCTCATCTCTAATTTTGACCTAAATTTATGACAATTTTATTTTTTCAATTTTTTTAAAACATGGACATGTTTAATAGCAAAAAGTCAAAAATTATTGTTTTTTTCTCAAAATTGTTGGCCTTTTTTTTTAAAGCACAAAAAAAAACACAGGCGATTGAATACCATCGAAAGAAAGCTCAATTCGTGGGAAAAAAAGGACGTAAATTTCATTTGGGTACAGCGTTGTGCAATCAGTTAAAGTAATACAGCGCCATAATGCAAAAAATGGCCTGGTCAGGAAGGGGGGTAAATCCTTAGTAGGGCAAGTTGTTAAGGTGTCTCCACTTTGGATGGAGGAATATTTTGCCCTATCTTTTAGATCCCTTTGCCGTAAAGCAAGGAAGTAGAGACCCCTATAGTATATTAAAAGGGAATTCCAGCTTATACCTAATTAGCCTTAAAACTGTCCTCTCACCCCTCCTAACATCTATGCAATAACCTATGCAATGTGTAAATAAGATGTATACAATGTATATTTATCTATTTTCAGGCCCCTCCAGTCCGGTCCCGTGATGTTCCCTGTGTCAGCCAGTGAAGGCTGCAAGAGAGAGGAGAGAGCACTCCGACAGTGGCTAGCAAAGCCTGGAGTGGTAACGTCACCCATAGGCTTGAATGGCCCATTGTTTTCGGGGCTTCCTCCTTTCTCCTGCAGCCAATCTGGCTTGACATAAGGGAACCGGATCATGTGACCAGACTGGAGCAGCCTGAAAATAGGTAAGTATATACTTTGTACATCTTTGTTACACAGGTTAGGTATTTGGAGTGGGGGAGGAGACAGTTTTAAGGCTAGTTAGGTATAAGCTGGAATTCCATTTTAATGTGCTTTCACAAAGCAAACATTTTGTACATACAAACTACTTACAATTGCACACACTATCTAACGTTTCTAACAAATGAGCATTTACAATGGTCTAGATGTGATAGGTATACAGTAAAATGTTACTTAGCTTGGGTTATAGTTTGAAATTCTATAACAGAACTCCAGGCTGCTCAAGCTATTGCAGGAAATTGAGCACTCTCATAGTGTAGATTTGGTGTCATCCCTATGTGAAGTCCCTTCTGGCCCAGGCCTTGGTCAGTGTTACAGATCCCCCCGCACAGACCTTCCTTGGTTTTTATGCAGCCCCCTTGCAGTTTCCCCCCCCCCCCCCCCCCCCATGGCAACCTATCACAGTACCACGTTTGAATTTACTGAGCTCCTGAGAGCGACCCATTCTTGCACAAATGTTTGTAGAAGCAGTCTGCATGTCTAGGTGCTTGATTGTATACACCTGTGGTAATGGAGGTGATTGGAACACCTAAATCCAGTGATTTGGAGGGGTGCCCCAATACTTTTGGCAATATAGTGTACATAAGTTCCCTCTTGATCCACCTTTAAATGCAGCCAGGACTCGCATCCCTGCCCTCTTCAGGCAAAAATACCCCCCTCCTATCCCATCTGTTACTCTTTGATTCTCCGAGATAAATGAAATCAGGCACATGGAAGAGAAGATGTCACAGCTTCTCTAAAAAAAATGACAAATTTTGACATACCTGGTTTTACTAGTTGGAATACATATTTTCACCAGAGTCAAGCAGTCAAATCAATTTACAAAATCCTATTATTGTGACCCTTACTCCTCCTTTTGAATGCAAGGGAACATGCTCCAGCACCCTTCTCCATCATCTCTAATATAAGCTTTCCTTCCCTACCCTGCCACTACTCTCCTACTTTTCTACTCAAACTTTCCTGAGCCCTCTTGCCTACTTCAATTTCTCTTATTCTGGCTACCTTTTCTCCCCCTCTTATTATTTTGAATTGTTGTATTTCTGTTATTTTGATGAAAACAAAGAACCATGCCCTAAATGGTGTGTGTTGTCTGTCAACTGTGACTTCCGGGACTTGGACTGCCATGGCAGATTTGCTATTCTCACTCAAAAGGTCTTGTTGTTCTCCTAAGAAGAACTATGGCAAGCTGTTTTAGCTTGTGTACATACACTATATGAATTATTGTAACTACTGTATGCACACTGTGATCTTATTCTAAAATTAAAAAAAAGAAAAATGACTTCATAGTGGTATGATAATTTCCCTTTCAATTGTAAATGAGACCTGTACTGCATTCCCCAAACTGGGGCTGCCACCTCATTCCTTTAAACCAAACACATTAATTACTGGTTCTGAGGACAATTTTTTGAAGATAAAGCACTAAGTGAATTTAATTACCACCTTAATAAGCCACAGAACCTGTGTAATTAATATGTGTTTGGTTTTAAAGGGATGAGGTGGCAACCCTACCCCAAACACACCTCTCATGTTTCACTAGGAAACAGTTCACTACTACAGGTAAAACTTTGACTCATGTGCAGACCATTGAGTTATAATGGCTATGAGCAGTACTACATGTGAATATTAATATATCAATAGCCCAATGACCCACTGTACACAATTATAACCTATAAGGTACTCCGGTGTCCTCCCACACTCCAAAGACATGCTGGTAGGTTAATTGGATCCTGTCTAAATTGGAGCTAGTATGTGTATGTATGAATGTGAGTTAGAGACCTTAGATTGTACACCCCTTGAGGGTTAGGGACTGATGTGAATGTACAATATATATGTAAAGCGCTGCGTAAATTGACAGTGCTATATAAGTACCTGTAATAAATAAATAAGGGAGGGATGGGCTCCATCCTAGACAGATGGGACAGAGGGGTCAGTGATAACGTTCCAATTACTGCCACATCACATTGGGAATCTTATTGCTCTGAACTGTTATGTTTCTTCACATGAAAGTCAAATGACCATGAATGCTGTATTGCAGCACTAACATGAAATCTCTGTAAATTTCATCAGAACAATGCCTCTGTTTTATGTTTTACAAAGGCTTGTATTTAGTGAAGTTGCTGAATATTTCATAAAGCTGGAATTTCCTTTAAAGAAGTTCAGTTAACAGGGCAGGGAGATTGTGGCTCTCTAGATGTTGTGCAGCAGGAAGGTCCTGCTCGATGCTTGATGGGCTAACAAAGAGATTTTGGCAAAAAGCATTTGGGAAAAACTTTAGCTAGAGATGGGTATGTCTAGCACCAAAATTAAGATTGCTTTAGTGCCCCCAGGTCCATCAATCTTCTGTTTGTGGTCTCCTTCACGCAGCTGTTTACACTGAATTCCAGAGACAAGATTTTGAGAATTCTTGTGGCTGGAATGCCAGATGCATGCGAACAGCAGCAGTTGCTCAGCCTATATAAACCAATGACAGGCTGGCAGTAGCTGCTGATGCTGTTCGCAAGTAGCTGCGAACTAGGTTTCCTAGGGTTAGGGACAGATGGCTAAGCCTGGATACAGCTGATTGCTTGTACTCATAACCCCTGTACTCTGTGCATTACATACTCGTGACCCTGCATTTTGTTCATTACATTTAGTACCTCTGACCCCTGCACTCTGTGTGTTATGTACTCCGAAACCCAGCACTAACCATAGCACTCCTGGCCCTTGCTCTCTTTGTATTCATACCCCTGACCTCTGTACCTGGTGTGTTACATACTTCTGACCCCTGCACTATTTAATTTATGTACTCTTAAATCTCACACTGACTGCAGCTCTCTGTGCATTATGAACTCCTGATCCTTGCACTCTTTGTAGTACTCATCCTGACCACTGTACTTATGACCAAAGTATTTATTGCCTCAACAGCTGATGGTTGCTAAGCAGTCCCTGACATTTGTAATAAAGTTCTTCTTGAAGGTAGGCTCAGACAAAGTGTTAGCTCTCTATTTCCAGTGAACACAGTAGCATCTGGAAGAGTTTAATTTTTTTTAAATGATTGTGCTGAAGTACTGTATTGACATGTCATGTTTTAGTTAGCCATATCCCTTTAAGCCCCTCTAACTGTTAATGCAATTTGGCCACAATCACTGTTTGCTGCAGCAGATTAATATTCTTCTTTTGGGGGCCCAAAGGTGGCCTGGGTCTTTTACAGTCCTAGCAATGGCCTCCACTTTGTGCTGTCCTTTACAGTACCGGTAGTAGCAAGAGACACAAAGGGCAAGTAGGCTATCGAATAATCTTTGATTATGCTGCACAGCTATATACATGCATCTTACTTGATGGTAGGAACAACAAACCACCACCTAGTCCACTAAAGTTGCATTACATAATTAGTCTGGCTGAATAAAGACAAAAGTCCATCTAGTTCAACCATTAAAAAAAAACAAAAAAAACAAGTTAGAATCTTATACTCACAGTTGATCCAAAGGAAGGCAAAAAATCCAGCAAAGCATGATCCAATTTGCTCCGCAGAGGAATAAATTCCTTCCTGATCCCCCGAGAGGCAATCGGATATTCCCTGGATCAACTTTACCTATAAATGTTAGTATCCAATTATATCATGTGCATCTAGGAAAGAATCCAGGCATTTGTAAAGCAATCCAATGAGCTGGCTAGAACTAACTCTTGAGGAAGTCTATTCCACATTTTCACAGCTCTTGCTGTGAAGAAACCTTTCTGTATTTGGAGATTACATTTCTTTTCCCCCAGACGTAAAGAGTGCCCCCTTGTCCTCTGTGATGACCTCAGGGTGAATAGCTCTACACTGAGTTCACTATATGAACCACTGATGTATTTATACATGTTGATCATATCCCCCTTAATCTCCTCTTCTCAAGAGAGAATAAATTCAGTTCCTCTAATCTTTCCTCATAGCTGAGCTCCTCCATTCTTCTTATCAGTTTGGTTGCCCTTTCTGCACTTTCTCCAGTTCCCCAATGTTCTTTTTGTGAATTGATGCCCAAAACTGAACTGCATATTCCAGATGAGATGTTAAGATCTGTACAGGGGTAAAATTATATCTCTCTCTGGAGT